ATACACGACCCTAAACAGACAACCGGATGTCGCGACACTGCCACAGATGTCTCAAGTGAGACGGGCGGCAATATGGCTGCCTACCACCCAACACTTTTCTGGTAACTCATAATGACTTCTGTACGGTCACTATTTTGTTTACATATAGCCTCCGATTGGTAATGCGTATACTGCTGTACAGTGAACAAAATAATCGGACGACAAGGAGAAGTGTTATAAGTCACATAGCTAAACGTAAATTGGGTTTGTGATTCACACCCAGAATAACAAAAAATCCCACATACCAGGAGGACAGGCAGGTGATCTACTTACCAGGTACAAATCTTCCTCAGTATTTCCAAGCAAAGATAAATGAGGACCCGTAAGTAAAAGAACGGGTCCATGTGATAACAATGAATGCAGAGCGGTTGACCGTTCAATGGCAACTGGAGTAATGTCCATAGGATATCCGAAACATTTAGACGATGATACTACTGGTTTCAGAATATCTATAATGAATTCGGCGAGGCGCGCGGAAGACAGGCGACCCAATGGAATGTCACGAGTAATATTCTGAGGAAATGAAATGGCAAAGCTCAATGCGCAGGTTTGAAACGGAATTATGGTCAAATGTGAACGCATTATTGCATCTACGTCAAAAAGAACAAACATACTAGTGGTCAAAACGGCTAATTATATGTTGCTTAAATTACGAGAAAAATGAGCGCGATGTAAATGACATTCAATCGATGTGTTAAGGGGAAACCAAACAGGTCGGCAATGAAATAAGTAGGGCAGTTTTCCTATTGTGTCTTGTCTATATAGTTGTTTTGAAGAGCTTTGCTGTATCACTACCTCTGGAAAAATTTCTTCTACATATCCCGGCATAAACATTTCGGTGTCGTTCGACAATAGGAATAATCACATTACGTTGAGAAAGTTCGTGCTTTGAGATTATAGAAAGCACAGTGCTGAGCTGGCGTCATTTTCTGGGAAGATTTAGTTCACAAATAACATTATACAGAATGGTTTTATCAAGAACCCCATCAGCCGTTTAATTAGCCAAGGGAGGCGAGACCCCAACGGTTTCCTGAAGCCCGTCACTTCCGACGCAAAACTATTTGATCCGCCAGGATGGTCACGAACAGTAAATAAAATGGAGGCCAACGTGGGAATTGGATTTTGGAGGGTCCTTTGGCATCACCCGAACCACTTCTGGGTATAGAACATTAATAGATACCACGCTGCGCTACCTAAGAGGCGACCTCATACAAGGAAGTAAAGAAAAATTGCTACGGTGAATTAAACACTTGGACCAGCAACTGAAACCCACAACTAGACTAGCCGATCATCCAGGGGTAGTAGAAAAATAAACCTTATATATTCAATCGCAACCCACTAGGTAGAAAGAAAATCGCCTCGAGAATTAAAAAACGGAAATTTGGAAAGATCCAGAGGAAGACGGTATTCCAGCAGAGATATTCGAATTCTGCATTGGTCTTGCTCAACCCACTGTTTGCTATTGCATCCGTTCTGGGAAACGGATGCTCTTGCCATGTATTGGATTATCTCAGTTCTACTGATCATCGCCTCAAAAGGTGACAAGACTGTATCCAGGACCTATTAAAGCATCAGTCTGATCGACACAATGGCTAGACTGCTCAGTGGTGCTGTCTAATTGCTGCGCAGCAACGAGAGGCGCGCCTCCACTAACCAAGGCGGCTTCCACCCACCGAAATTCATTGTGGAACAATGAAAGCAGACGGCATGGCTGAGTAGCTCATAGGGAGTATAAAGGCCCACTACTCCGCAATTCAAGCCCTGGTCTGCACCTACAGTTTCAGTTTTCAGTTTTTACAACCATTAACCATGCACTTTTGTGCGCCGGTTTTGGTTGCTGTCTTTTGGTGCCCCATTTGGATAAAAGAGCAGAATGAAGATTGTCATGTTGAAAGCAAATTCAAGCGGAAGATGGAGAATTCATAGAGAATAGTGACTGGAGAATTATGAGTGGATGCACGAGCGCCACTGTTTGCGGCACATCATCATCATTGTACAGCGTAATACAGTGAGGCGAACTTCACTGATCGCTGCCAAACTCATAATGCATACAAGATATTTGAAGCATTGAGTTCCCTTTATCCATTTCATCAAAACAGAAAGAAGCATACAAGATAAGTGAGAATGTGTAAGGAGGACACGGATAAGACCTATTTTTAGGGACGGGAAAGGAAAACGAACCTCTATGGTCAACACGCAGAGTACACAGTCCAACTGTGTATACACACTAGTTCAAGCATTCTGGACTGATAAGAAGTGACAGCATGATAGCCATTGCTGTCGGTTTGCAGCCATGACCTTCGGTGTCTNTTGAAGTATTTTGGACCCCAACCCGGAAGACGAGAGACACCTACTCTACCTAATCGCTCTGTGCATTTCTTTATGTCTCGTTTCCACGTGTTCCAGTGGACGACCACGAATGCCTAACCTCAGCATTGCTCATCCGATTACCCCACCAGACTCGAGCAATGCGACGTAGAAAGCGGTGTTCGAACATCGAAAATCTATTTTTATCCTGATCCCGTAAAGGCCAAGTCTCTGCACCGTAGGGCAGTTTCAGTTCAGTTTGTACAACCATTAACCACGCATATTCGTGCGCCGGTTTTGGTTGCGGTCTTTTGGCTGTCCATTTGGATGACGAATAGGAGAAAAAAGGAAAGTGGAGTCGAACAGAAAATGGAGAAGTTTAGTGGTCTCAGGTTGCAAAGAGATTGAGGAGATGCACGAACGCCACTGGTTACGACACCCAGTCATATCACTCAGTGTCTCTAACCATCGGTTACGGTCATCCTGAGGTCCCCATCCAGGGCGCCTAACGGGACCCATGTGACCCAGTCTCCTGGTTAGGGTTTTCACATCCTCGTGCCAGGTCTTAGCCTGCTCCAGTGGGCGACCGCGAATACCCAAAACTCCGTAGAGCAGGACTGATCGAACTGCTGCAGCATACATTTGACCCTTCAAAGACAGCCGAATATCGCGACGGTGCCACAGATGTCTCAAGTCGGCAAATGCCAATCGAGCCTTCTGTATCCGCGCCGACACTTTATCTGTGATGCGTCTGCCAGTTGAGATATAGCTGCCCAGATGACAAAAGTGCTCTACTTCCCCAGTTAGGGTGAGGTGGCGGCTGAACCAACCCAATCTTGTGGCAGCGTTCTACACTTAGGTGCAAAACGCACTCAAACTTGCACTCAAAGCATGCAACTTACCTAGATCTTCAATTAGTAGCACAATGTATGTATGCATACTCTGGATCAGACAGCCTGTCACCAGGGAGTAAATCAATGCAGCCAACCTTGCAGGAGGATAGGACCGTTTCAAGAACTGAATCTATGACAAAGTTAAATAGAATCGGAGAGAGAGAGAGGGCAACCATGTCGAACACCGCTTTTCGTGATGAGCTTGGGCGAAAACGTGCCGTAAGTTCGAACTCGGCTTCGGCTATCAGTATAAAGCGATTTTAACATTGCGATTAACTTCTCGGGCACTCCCTTCAGCGAAAGGCAGTGCCAGAATTTAGAGCGGTCGACCGAGTCGAAAGCCACTTTCAGATAGAGGAACATAGAAATAGTGGGTCTACGAAAGGAGTGTTCTAGAATATGACGAAGTGTGAAGATGTGGTCAATACAGCCTTGACCAGGTCTAAAGCCAGCCTGATTCTTATGCGTACACCGTTCATGTGCGGTAGACAATCGACGGAGTATGCTACCAGTGGGAAGTTTCGATACAATGTTGATTGAACCGA